TTCAGAGGGCCTTGTGACATATCTCTGCATCAATCACCTAGGAGATGTTACTCCATTTTTGCCTGCATTCTGCCCACAGGAAAACTTGTGAATTATCACTAGGCCCAGGTACGGGGTGATGTGTCTCTCCTGCATAGGCCTTGACCATAGAAAGCATTGTTACCTATTGCTGGACTCAGCAGCCAGGAGATGTGACTCTGCTGCTTGTATCCTGCTTTCAGGAGAAGGTTGTAATGTATTCCTGGCTGAGTATTAAAGTGATGTGACAGTCCTGTCTGGTTCCTGCCCTCAGTAAAGATTGTGATGTATTCCTGGCCAAAAACCTAGGTGATGTGACTCTTCTCCTCTCTGCCTATTCGTAGGTAGGATTGTAAATTATGTTTTGGCCTAGCTTACAGGCGCAATGGTGAGTCTCATACCTCAAACTATCCAATAGGAGAGATGCTGTCTTTTATAGCTAGGCCTTGGGTAATGATTAAGATCCTGGGTCTCCTTTTTTTCTACAAAGTCATAGAAAATTACCACTTTCTTGCATACTATATAAATCCCTTGCTGGGCATGGTGGCTCATGCCTCCCATAGTGGCTCAGCACTTTGGGAGGCTGAGGCGTGTGGATCACCTGAGGTCAGGAGTTCAACACCACTCTGACCAACATGGTGAAACCCCATCTTTACTAAATACAAAAAATTAGGCAGGCGTGGTGGCACATGCCTGTAATCCCAGCTACTTGGGAGGCTGAGGCTGAAGAATCGCTTGAACCTGGGAGGTGGAGGCTGCATTGAGCCAAGATTGTGCCATTGTGCTCCAACCTGGGCAACAAGAGCAAAGCTCGGACTCAAAAAAAAAAAAAAAAACCCAAAAAAAAAAACCACATTAGATTTAAAAAATAAATCTCTTGTGGTACAGAGAGTATCATTTCAGCATTCAGCACACAGATGAGATTGTGGTTCTCATGTGCACACCCCACCAATTGTTAGGCTTGTCACTCTCACACATAGACAGAGCCCACTGGTAAGGCCCTGAATTTCACACACCCACAGTCAGCAGTTGAAATTGTGACTATCATATGTGAACATCCAGCCAGAGTTGGAATGACGACTTATTTCTAAAGCCAGTTCATTGGCAGATGAGAATTCTGTCTGACCCCATGAAAATTCTACCTGGGCTTAGTGCCAGAGTAAACAGAGTTTACAGGAGGAATGAAGGCTCTCAGGCTCCCATCCAGTTCATTGGTGAGATTGTCACTACCATACTTAGACCCAACATAGGAAATGTGGTGACTCTCATACCTAGAACTGGGACCTGTGTGGGGTTGTTAATTCATTACTGGACCTTCCTGTGGGTGTGATTGTTACATATGCCTATGTTCAGCACCTGTGTGATTTGATTTTGCTGCCTGGTCTCAGTCCAAAGGTAAGATTGTGATTTATCACTGAATCCAGCAGCTCGGTGATTTGGCTCTCCTCTTTTTTTCTGGGGCGGGGGGAAGGAATCCCACAAATTTTGGGTATTGTCAATTATTGCTGAATCCTGCACCCATGTTATGTGACTCTCCCAAGTGTGCCTTACATGTTGTGCCATATTGTGGCTCAATATATCACATTAGACATTGTTAAATATTGTTGGGTTCAACACCTGGGTGATGGATGTAGCTTTTTTTCTGGGCCTTCCTACAGGGGACCTTGTGACATAACTCAATGCCCATCACCATGGTAATGTTACTCTCTTCTCCTGCCTGATCTCTGCTCACAGAGAAATTGTGACACATCACTGGCCTCACATCTAGGTGATGCGACTTTCCTCTTTTTTTCAGGCTCCACATATTTGGGTATTGTGATGTATTGCTGAACTCAACACCTAAGGGATGGGAGTCTCCTACATAGGCCCTTCCTACAAGGGGCATTGTGACATGTCTCTGCATTCCTCATCCAGGAGATGTGACTCTTCTCTTCTGCCTACACCTGCCTATACAGAAAGTTGTGGCATATTGCTGTGGTCAGCAACCAGATGATGTGTTTCTTCTGCCTGGGTCTTTATTACAGGAAAGATGGTTGACACATTACTGGGCCCAGCATCCAGAGGATGTGACTGTCTTCTTCTGTTGGTCCCTGCTTACAGGGAAATTGTAGCATATTGCTACACCCAGCTCCTAGCTTATGTGACTCTTCTTTTAGGTTTTTGCCTTCAGGGGATATTGTGACATATTGCTGGACCCTGCACTGACAATTTGTGACTCTTCTGCCTGTGATTTGCCCACTTGGGCCATTGTGACATTGCTGGGTTTAACACTCAGGTGATGTAACTTTTATGCCTGGGCTTTGCCTACAGGAGGCATTTTGAAATGTCTTTGTGGCTAGGCA